CCCTGGAAAACGCGCGGGCCCCGAGGATGCCCATGCTGCCACCAACCTGGGGATCGATTGCGCCGCAGGGGCGTCCAGGCTCAGGATCGCGGGGCGAGTTGCGAAGCGCGCGCGCCAGCAGAGGCTAATTGGGTACCGGGCTCGACGGCACCGATTTCGAGCGATAAAACCGGCATGAGGAGATACGAGGAAGTTGTGGAGGAAATGGTTTGCAGCAAGGTTTGATTTACGGAGCGGATGTGGTGGGAGTCGACAACAAAGAACTTCGCAAAATCCGGACCAAATGTTTGCGCACAGCTGGGCCGATGCGGTATCCGAAGTAGGTCGATTTTTTGGCCGTTCAGGGAAATCCCACACGGCGTGCAGGAGTAAGCCCAGCTTTGACATGGGCCACAATGGCCCGAAGAGCGACTACCCAGGCCACCAGTCACGCAGAGCTTCGTGATCTGAAAACACTGGCCGAACCTATCTTCTCCTCTCCTCCTCCCAAAGTATGCGCCGAACGGGGCCCCTTTTGGGCCGCCACCTCATCCCTTGAGAGGATAGGATGGGAGTTTGCTTCCGCGTGCGAACGGGGTCCGATGCCCGCTTACGACCTGCGCTCACAAAATGATGGCCCAGAAGATGCAACGGGCCTGGGGCAGGCTAACCCCGCAGAAAGCCGCTGCCAAAGTCGGTTTTCCCCACGAGGTCCTTGATGTCAAAACTGCCAGGGCTCCTAATAACTGGAAGCACGCTTGATAAAACAAAGGCCAGGTCTACTTGAATATGTCATCTCACGCAGTGTGTTTGGATGCGCGATCGTTTAATGGCAGCAGGCTGCCAGATCTCACCAGAGTGCGAATGCGGTTATCCCCACAACAATATGAAGCGTGGGCTGCTGGATTGTTCCAAGACGGCCGCCTTGCGAGAACAAGAGTTTGAGTTCACCCAGGATGAGCTGGACCAAATAGGTAGACTTACAGACCAAGTTTTGGCCTAAGGCTTCCAGTATGCCTCTGAGTTCGACACTGGGCCCCCCGACGGATTCGGCTACGAAAATGCCCTGTTCTGGTGTCGGGGCCCTGCCTTGTCGCCACAACAAGCGTTTTAAGGGGATGTGTTCACTGACGGATCGTGCATGAGACTAGGAGGACATGCCACATACAATGTTGTTGGTTGGGCCCCGGTCACGGTCGACACCCATGGCGACACGTTTGCGCATTTGCTTGGGCACGTAGGCAACCTCTTCTCGCCCGCCGCCCCTGCTGCTGAGCACTGCGGGGTGCTTGCTGCTGCCCTTAACGCTGGCCCACGCGCTCAGATTTTTGTAGATTACCTAGGGACCATCGGCGTCCACGCAAAACCTTTTGTCCGCGGGAATGTTAATAGTGCCTTTAAGTTGCTTGGCGGGGCTGCATGCGTCCCTTCAAGGCAGCGCCGAGGCTGACAGATTTGCTGAGATAGCCGCTGGCAAAGGGCACCAGCCCAGCAGTCACGAAGTAGATGCAGCTGAGGCTCAAACGAAGCTCCTAGCGAAGTTTTTGGGTTTCGTTCCCCAGGCTCTCCAGTTGAGGCCTGGAAAACCAGAGAAAGCTTTGAAACCGTCCACGGGAGCCGCAGTTGCAGGTCCAGCCTGGGGGCTCGACGCTCCTCCGAGGCCGCCCCTTCCCCCGGTCGAACCGACCCCCAGGAGGCAGCACCAACGGCATCGGATGGGCAATCGTTGGACATGCTCTGCTTGCCCCGCCAGGTGCAGGAGCGAGCAAAGGATAGCCGCGCGAGCGCGCGGACACTGTCCAGGCGACTGCGCTCACTACCCTCAGCTGTTGGCCAACTCCTGCGGGCATGATTAGCATTTCTTCGGATACATAGATCCGAACGTCCCTTGCAGCGTGCTAATGTGCCGAAGGTGTGGCTCTTTTAGCGAGCAAAAAAAACAAGTTGTCCAAGCCACCCCCCAGCAATAGGATGAAGCTCCAACTAACGAGGGCTTTGGAGGGCCGCCATCCGAAAGGCAATGCTTCCTCGCCTTTTGTCCTTCGAGCCCCCCTCCCCCTTGCCCAAGTCGTGACGGAGTTGCAGGAAGCTCAGACGCAGTCAGATGACCCCAGCAGAGGGTAAATCAGGTTGCCTGCGTATATTTCGCAATGTGTATCCTAGAGCCCGTTGCAGTTGGCGCCCGATCGAGTCGGAGCCCAGGTCTGCCGCCGCCGCTGGCGCCGCCAGGCCTTTTCAGAATCCGAACCCACTTCAGTCGGTGCGCGGGTCCTCCTCTTCCTTCTTCTCGTCCTCCTCCTTTTCCTCCTCTTCCTCCTCTTCCTCCTTCTCCTATTCCTCCTCCTCCTTTCCTCCACCTCCTCCTCCTCCTCCTCCCCATCCTCCTCCTTTCCTCCTCCTCCCTTCTGCGGACGCCTCCGGCCTATATGTCGGAGGCGTCCGCAGACGGGAGGAGCGCGGTGTACACGCGGGAACCAACCCAATGGGTCACAGTCCAATGGGTCATCTTGGGTAGGAGGGCGGGAGGAGGGAAGAGGGTTGGGTAGATGAGGGGGAGAAATAGGGCGGAGGAAAGGGAGGAAAGAGGGCAGAGGGAGGATGATGAGGAGAACGGGGTGGGAGGGAGGACGGAGGCGGTAGGGAGGATGCGAGGGGGGGGCAGGAGGAAGAGGTGGAAGGAGGGAGGAGGCGGGCGGAGGAGGAGGAGTAGGAGAAGGAGGAGGTATGATGAGGAGAATGACAATGGGATGGATGGAGAGAGGAGGGAGGAAGGAAAAGGGATGAGAAGGGAGGAAGGGAGGAAGTTGGGTGATGATGGAGGCTGAAAGGGAAGGGATGGGGAGGAGGAGGAGGAGGAGGAGGAGGAAGAGTGAACTGCGGACGGGGGCGGGGAAGGAGGACCGAGGAGAGAGGGGGCGGGGGGGTATCGAGGATGGAGTACGTATCGTAATGTGTCTGGTTTGTGTGGCTGTTGTTTCCATAGTTTTTTTTTCAACTGTCTGTATTTGGTCATGTCGTTTGTTTGTGTTGTGTGTTCCGTTGATCCTCCACCGCCACCATAAGGAATATTCGCCTTCGCCCATGAAGAAGATTCTGCTGTACCGCCCGCAGCAGTCATCCTGCAGAGGACGGTGGAAGGATATTTCCTCCTGCCAGTCAGGGCTCCGCCCGTGCCGCCCGCTCGGGGTGCCCTCTGGCAGGGGACCTCCTTGTGCCGGGAGCCCACGAAGGACGCATGCGCCCAGCTGTGTACATGAACACGGCCCCTCGACCCGCGAGACCGGCCGCGTGATACGAACATTCGCGCAATGCGAATTCTCGAAACCAGCGTCGATTCATGTACGTGTACGTCCTTCTTTCGCTCCTGATTGTGGATGGCTCGTGTAAGGCGTCTCCCAGACAGGAGCCCTGCTGTGCGGGGTGGGGCGCTTCCAACGCCACGCCCGAAGGCAGACTGAAGTGATGAGCCTCTTTTCCACCACCACCACCAGAAGTTGGAGGGGGAAGGAGGAGGAGGAGGAGGAGGAGGAGCACGAGGAGGAGGAGGAGGAGGAGGAGGAGGAGGAGGAGGAGGAGGAGGAGGACCCCCCCCTCCAACTTGTGGTAGTGGTGGTGGACAGCACGCCCGTCATGGAGGCGCGCCACCTGGCGGGCGGTGAGCCCGGGAACCGCCGCGTCCCGGCCAGAGCGCCGCGGGGTGCTGGGCCCTCGCCGTGCGGGCACAGATCTCGGCAGCGGCTCGGCGTGCACAGCGTCAGCGCTGGGGACGTGTTGCGCTCGACGCGGACAGGGAGGAGGCGCGGTGAGGATGCAGGGGGCAAGTCGGGCCTGTCCCTCTGCAGGAGGAATGTTCAAAAATAGTCAAAACATAGTCGGGAAACGATTTTTGGACTCTTGTTTAGCATTTTGGGAGAATGTTTCGAGTATGCTTTCTTTATTTTTCGCCCAACATCCCCCTGAAGGGGGACACGCCCGACTTAATGCAAGGGCCTTGGAACGCCATGTCGACGATTTCCGCGCGGAGCGCAGCAGAATGCCAAAGGATGCCGAATACCGAAGGGGCAAGGATGCGAGGGTAGCCTAGGACAGTTGCCCCGTCCTTACTGTCATGGCTGACTGTGTCTCTGGTGCACGTCCGGAGAAGCTTGTAACCTCGTGCAGGGTCTCTCCCCGAGCCTCGCAGGAGCGAGGATCGGAGGCGAGCGCTAAGCCCAATTTCCCTGCGGCAGCTGTCGAGCCGGATCGATACGTAATGGTCCCGGGCCCGAAACGGGGCGAAAGCGCCCAGGGCGAAACATTGCAACGCCCGGATCTCAGGGTTGCCCTCCCTCCCTCCTCCCTCTTGGCTCTTTTTCGGATGCGGTGCCCTGCGTTTTCTTTCAACGCGCGCCCCCCCGACGTCCCGACCCTGCCCACAGGACCAGTTTCCCATGCCGAGTTGTTTTTCGATTGCTTTGGGGCCCGGCAAGGGCCCCAGGAGGCCGAACATTGCGAAACGTTTTCCGTAGTGTGTTTTTATCTCACCCTCATCGTCCGTGCGTGCCCTCTCTCTGGGGCAAGGAGGAGCGACACTTCCACCCCCAAGGGAGGGAACCTCCAGTGAGGAGGTCCACGATGCCTCCCCGAGCTGGGAATGGGAGGAAGTCTCGAGCGAGAGGGGGGGATCACACCGCCAGGGCCAGGGGGACCCTTCCTGGCTCTTCTCGCTCGTGGCTCCTCTCGCTCGTGACCCCTGGTGGTGGTGGTCCCTTGCTCCTGCCCTTCAGTCCTCGTCGCCCTCCTCCCCTCCTGGCCCTCCCACGTCCTCCTCGCCCTCCTCGCCCTCCCTCCTCCCCGCACTCCCTCCTCCCTCTCCTCCCCTCCTCGCCCTCCCTCCTCCCCTCGCCCTCGAGCCCCCCGCGGAGGCACAGGCCTCCAGCCCGCAGCCTGCGCCGCAGGCCCTAAGGGGCGAGCTGGCGACGGCCCGGCGGGAGCTGGACGAGGAGCGGGCCGCGGCATCCGCCGCGGCGGCGGCGCTCGAGGACGCGCGGACTCAGGGTCAGGGTGAAGCTGAGAAGGATGAGGAGAAGAATGAGGATCGCGAGGATCGTGGGGATGATGATGGCGATGGTGATGGTTATGATGCTGGTGCTGATGATGACGATGATGCTGATGCTGAGGATGATGAGTATGAGGATGGTGATCATGATGACTATGATAATGGTGATGATGGTGATGATGATGCTGTTGATGATGATGCTGATGGTAATGGTGATGGTGATAATGGGGATGAGGACAATAGTCATTATGAAGACGACGATGATGATGATGCTGATGATGCTGATGATGATGATGATGGTGGTGATGATGATGTTGATGATGGTGATGATGAGGAGGAGGAGGACGACGATGTTGCTGATGATGATGATTTGTGGTCGCAGCGGTGTGAATTCACTTGATCACCCGATGCCGTGGGCTCTGGCGGGGAGCCGCAACTGCGCGTTGCAGACGCAATGGCTGCCCGATGGTCCGACACACTCTGTTGTTCCCTACCTAGGCTCTGCCTAGAAGGGTCCTTACCCGGTTTGCTTAAAGGGGCCGGCAGTGGGGCTCGCCCCGGGCGGTTCCCCCAGGATCTGCCCCGCGGTTCCCCCAGTTGCGTCCCTCTAGCTTAGCGTTGCTTACCTCATCTTAGCTTAGCTTATTTCATCTTAGCTTAGCTTAGCTTCATCTTAGCTCAGGATTATCTTAGCTTAGCTTACCTTCATCTTAGCTTCGCTGAGCTTTAGCATAGCAGAGAACAGCATAGCATAGCATAGCGTAGCATACCATAGCTCAGCACAACATATCATAGCATAGCCCAGCATAGCATAGCATAGCGCAGCATAGCATAGCATAGCACAGCACAGCATAGCGCAGCACAGCACAGCACAGCACAGCATAGCACAGCACAGAATAGCATAGCAGAGCAGAGCAGAGCATAGCAGAGCATAGCAGCAAAGCAAAGGCAAAGCAACAGCAGCGACAGCAAAGCAAAGCACAAGCAACGCAAAGCAAAGCACAAGCATTAGCATGGGCGTAATTCCCTACCTAGGCTCTGCCTAGAGGGCGTGCTTAGCTTAGCTTAGCTTAGCATTGCGCAGCGCTGCATTAGCGTATCATAGCATAGCTTAACATAGCCAAGCATGGCATAGCATAGCATAGCATAGCATAGCATAGCGCAGCATAGCATAGCATAGCATAGCATAGCATAGCAAAGCATAACATAGCATAGCATAGCGCAGCTTAACATGGCATCGCATAGCATAGCATAGCTTAGCATAGCACAGCGCAGCATGACATGACACAGCTTGGCACAGCATAGCATAACATAGCATAGCATAGCGTAGCATAGCATAGCATAGCATAGCGCAGCACAGCGCAGCATAGCATAGCATAGCATAGCATAGCATAGCATAGCATAGCAACTAATGCTGCTTTCCTAGGGGCTCCAACTTCTAGGTAGGGTCGCACTGGGGTAATGTCTGCACCCCGCCGCGCGGGTGCGACAGCCACCGGTGATTGGAAAGCGACTTCAGCCAGGCAGTACGGGCCCGATGAATCATGGAGATGCTGATGAGGATGATGATGATGATGATGATGATGACGACGACGACGACGACGACGATTGAAATGGCGATGAGGATCATGCTGATGATGGTGAGGTTCATGGAGATGAAGATGTTTATGATGATCAGCATGATGGTTACGATGGTGATGATGAGGACGAGGAAGAGGATGATGATGAGGGTGATGATGGTGATTGTGATTGTGATGGTGATGTCTATGATGATGAAGATAATGATGCCGATGACGATGCTGATGGTGTTGTTGATGCTGATGCTGACGACACTGCTGCTGCTGTTGATGGTGTTGCTGCTGCTGATGATCATGATGATGATGGTTATGAGGATGATGCTGAGCATGCGGATGAGCATGATGATGATGCTGACCATGATGAGAATGACGATGACGATGGTGATGATGCTGTCTATGATGCTGCTGATGATTGTGACGATGATGATGATTATGATGATGATGATGGTGATGATCATGATGATGAGGATGGGAATGATGGTGATGATGATGATGGTGATGACGACCTGCTGTGCGTTCTGTAGTTTCTCGCCATCTGCACGCTATCTTCCACGAGGCTCGACATGGGGCCGTACTCCTGAGGTTTGAGCGCCTGTGAACCTCAGAGTGTCAGAGCCTCAGACGCCAGCGAAGATGCTGACCCTCACAGGAACTGCCCACAGGCTGAGGCAGCAAGAGCGCAGCCCGCTGGAGCACGTTAATGAGGCGCACCACCTGCTAGCCCACCCTCTGGATGCCACTGCGCTTCACCGACGACCCAGAACACGTGCACTGATCTGGATTATACATTGGGTTTCTTAATAAGCGTGGGGGAGTGCCCCCCCGACGGGGCCAACCTCGCCTTCGCACCGCGACGGGGGTCGGAGTGCCTTCGGCGCGCGGTGGCTTCCCGCGACGGGGGTCGACGTGGGGCTGTCGGCGGGGGTGACGCCCCCCGACGCTTATTAAGAAATTCGGAGTTGTCAGAACGCTGTTGTGGTAAGTAGGAGTTGGTGCTGTAATCGCCAAGTGTTGGATACTCGAGTCGGCTATCGCTTGAGGCAGTCCTGGTAGGGAATAGTCTCCACCCCAATGTTCAATCAACCGTCCCGTTTTGAAAATCAGATTCGACACCATATTTGCCATAGTTTATATTAGTGCTCCTCCACGATTGTCATGTCTAACGCACTACCCATAACCATTGAAAAACGCACAGTCTGACATGTACGCCAATTGGTGCCGCCAACGGCCGATGAAGAAAGCGAAACTCTCAGAGTCCACGTCGATGTCCTTTCAGTCAAAGCTCGTGATGATGTTCCAGTGCTTGGTGATGCGGCCGGTGTTTGCTGAGAGGGACGGCGGGGCTCGGCGCCGAGGTGCTGGTGAGAAGCTCGCCCGTGGCCGTGATAGCCTTGGGGGTCTTTGGGCCACAGGGTTATGCAGCTCCTCAGGCGTCCCCGTGATAATCTTGATCGTCTCGCCGAGATGTGACTGCACGAGCGCCTCCTGCATCGGGGAACGAGCGGGGGCTGGTAGAGAGGCACCTCCACTGCTCTCTGCGAACAGCGTCTGCGGCGAGGGCGTAGTCTGCTTCGGCGATGTCCCTGGCTCCCCACTCCAGGCGAGAGGCGTGGGCGGGAAGCTCAGGATAGGATGGGGCACCGACCCGACCTGCTGCTTGACGGCCAGTGTCGCTTCGTCCATCTTGGCAGAGATGGCGTCTGTGACGATCTGGCCCCGCGTCGTATACTCTTCCTTGAGACGTTGATGTGCTTGAGCTTGGCGGAACTCTCGGATCTCAGGGCAGTGGCGGTCACCGGTGCTAGACTCGGAACTGGATGATGTGGGACGGCGATTGCGGGTGTTGCGGTCACGGTCACAATCACGGCCAGCATATCTTTGCCCGCACCGATACCGTTGGAAATTTTGACGGTCTCTCGGTTGGTAGGGTTGACCGCCATTGCCCAATTGGCCCGATTGGATACTTTTCTGCTTGCCCACCTTGGACGTCACAAAACCCTCGCGGCCAAGCAATTGATAGAGCGGCCGCCAAGAAGCTCGAGCCAAGGGTACGGGTCGGATAGGTGGTGCTGAATCCAGTAGTTTATGTCGTAGATCAAGTGGAAGCGTTCTGAAATGCCATGCGAAGAGCCCCCAGCCACAGTAGTACATGAGAGGTTTGTTTTCCACCGCGTTGACTTCGAAGCCAGTCTCGATCGCCGTGTTTCTAAGACCCACGATAGAGATTGCCCAAGCATGCGTACGTCGAGATGAAGCCAAGTGCATGGCATCGCAAGGGACAACGGTTGGTGTACGTAGATTTCACTTACAGGTTCTGCAGTCATGGAGTTGTCGAAGTGTGCGAGGCATGGGGAGCAATAGAACATCGAGGAGATCGCGAGATCGTCAACGTGCAGTAGCGACTGGATGATGCCCTCGATGAGATGTGGGTCGAATGGTGTGTTCATTCGCCGTTCTGGGTCGGAACGGAAGGCGTGCTCCTCAGCCGCGAGGCGTGAGGAGACGGCCGCTGAGAAAATTGCCCCTTCGATACTCAGACCCAGCAGTTCCACGATACTGTCCCCCACGGCGACGAGGCTGGAGGAGGTTGCTGCGTGGAGGGCCTGCCCTAGGACTTCCACGGGGAATGTCCGCCATCCTCGAGACCACGACCTGGTCCTTGAGCGCGACTCGTACTTGGCACCTTTTTTGATGGAGACAGTATGTGCGCCCGTCTATTTGTGCGCCTGCGGTACCTCCTGCCAAGCTTTGCGCGCATGGGTAGGCCTGCAGGATTCGAAGGCTGGGTCAATGTCCACGCAGCCAGCCTTGAGGCCTGCATCCATAGAGCATCCGCTCCGTACGCAGAACATTTCGCCACCCAGTGCTGCACCAGGGCTCCGAAGATCATGCGGGCAATGAAGTAGGCACGGGACCGCAGCGTCCAAACTGTAAATCTCGTGCGATAGCTGGGGGGGGGAATCACGACCATCCGTGGCCCGCGCGGAACACTTCGCCAAGAACGAGCGACGTGAATCTCAGGCATGTCTACCACACGTTGGTGGCATGCGTGCCATTGTGTGTTGCTTACGTTTCTTGCTGCCGTCGTCGTCGTAGCTCTCGGACGTCGTGAAGCCAACCATCACGGGGCGCTGACCTCGTTCGCGCGGTGACGCGCCGGTGACCACTTGGGCAGACCTGCGAAGGCCCGCGAGCGGTATGAGGCCAGGGCAGGTTCACGGGATGTGTTCGAAGAGATCTGGTCAGCATCGCCACGCCGATCCACCGCGTGCTGGGCTGCGGAGAAGATGGGCCGCAGGATCCAGGCTCTCGGCGCCCCTGAGCCTCTGCGGGTCGCGGTCGTCGAGGGCGGAAGCCTCCGCGGAGTGCAGGTGGAGCTTGAAGTCCGCCTCCTGAGCCCCGCATG